AAAAAAAAAAAAAAAAAAAAAAAAAAAAAAAAAGGAAAACGATTGGCGATGCCTCGCATTTGTAAATCACGTGCAGCTTGTGACGAGTTTATGTGAAAATATATGGTATTTACAGGTATTTCAAAAAAGGTTGAATACTGCATACCGTGCATACTGAATAGTGCATTCCGAGGCCAAAGGGCATTGTGGGTCTCGTTAATTTGAAATAAAAAGTAAATATACAGGCATTAACTCTCTACATGTAGTTAGTATATTGTTTCAGATGGAATACACTAAAAATAGAATGAATAATAATAATTATTAATCCTACTTTAGACAATGTCTATGACCCACAATGCACTTCGGTCTTGGAATGCATTATTCAGTATTCAGTATTCAGTATTCGACCTCTTTTGAAATAGCTGTATAATAGATTTGGCAAATAAGGTTGTCACCTGTTGTCTCAGAGGGATTGTGGGATGTGAGGAATAGCCACGGGCTGCAGATTTGGACACTCATATTATCATTACGATGCTTTTGTTAGTAAACATAAAGTATCGCTTTAGGGAGGGAGAATATCTAAAATGCCTCTTCTTCTGCGCTCTTCATAATACGTGTGTCTAATTTCCTATTTTGTTTTCAACCAACAGCCTTTTCTCTCTTGGACTTTACATTCTTTATCTATCCCCCAGTAGTATATCTTAAAAGATCACTCGTCGGCATCAACATCAGGTAAGTGACCTTTGATATATTTTTGATTTGGTTCCAATATTCGAGGTTTTGTACCATGTCTCATTATCACTGCGCGCGATCTTTTTGACTTTCTTCAGCATTTTGCTGTCGGTATTTTCATAGTTTCTTTAACTGATTAATTGCTTTCTTCCAAAGGCTACTGTCGGGCCGGACGTTTTAAGAATTGACGTTTTTGTGCGTTAAATAATCTAGACATATCGAAATATTCCTTTCTCTGATTATATAAGCCGGTTTTACAAAATGTAAAAAAGTAATGTTTCTCATGTCATATTTAAAAAAATACACTTGAGGATCAGGCAAAGACTCAACTCAAATCCATTCAATTAGGATATCTCACCGGAAGTTTGGATTACCTCGATTACCTCATTATGCGCCAAAGAGCCCATTTGCTTTGGACCAATCAGGGGACTTGGATTTTAGTAGTATGACCCACTTCAAGGAATTACGCTCTATCTGGGTAAGATCTGACGTAAGTATATGATGAGTAGACCTTTGGTTCTTCGTTGACGCATTTATAGGATTTTTAGCTGTTTGCTCTGGTGGAGGATTAGACTCAGATCAAAATATAATAAGCTGAACATATCCTTCTGACTATGGGCGTATTCTATTGGTTAGCCAGAATGTATGGAATTAGAATGAGTCTGGATCACCTTTCTTGAACACGCTTTTCTTTTTCAAAGAAGCTTAGAACGGCTGTCAGGAACACTTTTTCACGTCAACATTGGAAAGTCGCTGCACAACCGTAAGTTTCGACGAGTCAACTTTGGTCTTCAGACAGGGGTTTAAAAGTATATTTAGAAATATTATACGATTATTCTTTAGACCAAAATGGCGTTTTATTAAGTCTGCTTAAAACTGCTCCTTAGTGTTAATGAACACATCGAACGGCTCAAGTTTGCGACGACACATCGGCTTGGCATGCCAGCTTAGTTTCAAATTCTAATCGTCATTTCAAATAAGCACCAACTGTCGCCCAAGTTGTCAGATTTGTCTGGTGGTCAGGTTTTCTCTTCAAACTTCACTGCAGTAATTTCTTGTGACATCAAGCAATATGTTTTCACAGTTTAGGCAATATAGAGTTTTGACTACAGTTTTTAACAGAAGACCTATTTCCAAGTAAGTATTCAAAATCAGAGTTCGCCTGTCTCCTATGAGGTCCGGTCCCATGTGGGCATGAGCTGGATGCTTGGTGCTCTTTCTGACTCTGAGCGTTTTTCAGCCTTACGTGGCTCTGCAGTCCCGTTTTACCTTCTCCCTCTCAAACCTACCCTAACTAATTCAAACTACTTTCATATATGGACTGCAGAGTCAGCCAGAGGCGTCTTCTCATTGCTTTTAGTTCGACCCTGTTGAGTTGTCACTGCTGTACTTGTGCTGGTACCGGTGAATAGCGATACCACGTTATGAATTTCGGAAGAAACATTGACGAATAGTGACGACCAGAGGTACAGGCTACCCAAACGCACTCTTTACACATCATAAACATAGCTTTAGAATTCCTTAAATTAATCGTTAAAACTTTAACCATATGATTAATATTTCCGAACGTTTTATCGTTTAAGATTAATTCTTTTTTAACCTACCGTTTCCCAACCTTTCATATCATATCACGTGATGTTTGGGCTACCTGTATCAATCCAATATGGCGGAATCTTATCATGGCGAGTTCTTTAAGCAAAATTCACAATAGACGTACTGATCCCGTTCGGCCAGCAGATCTCTGGGTGATCGGCGCGCTTCCGGATCTTAGCAACCACATAGAGAAACATCTTATTAATTATATTTCAGTCTTCTATGAATCACCAATACCTTTTGATTAGCTGAATATATGCTTCATTTGGATTCGAAGTATCCAAAGTGCTTGTTAAGTAAGTCTAAGTAGCTATACCTTAGTAAGTGTTTGATTACTGTCGGATTGTTCAATTAAGGAAAGAATATCAGCTGCATATCATGACCATAACAATTTCCGTACAGCACTGAATGGCGCTAATGAACAGATTCATATAGATGAGCCTGCATCAAGTGTATCATAACACAGGCTGCCCAGGCTATTATCCTGTGGCTTAATACTGTAGTGATATTCTTACAAATTTTACAAATTTCTTCTTTTAGCTTTAAAAGCTTAAAAAATGTTCATTACAAACCTTTACGGCATCCACTGGGAGTTGATATCAAAGCTGTTTATGCCATAATTTCGCATGTTTCTCCTCCGTAGTAAATATTGACAAGGCTGGAGACTCCGGGACCTAAATCTCTAACTGCCTCTAATCAGCTCGTTCAAAAAGCCTCTTCTCCTCCTCCAATCTTTACGAAACTCCGCCAAGTTTTTGTGTAATATCAGGTCGTTGCCGTTTGAAATTTACACGGTCCCAAGATGAATATTTCTCGAGATATTGAAATCAGAACATCAAATAACACAACCCGCTACAGAAGTACGGTACCAGCTCCGAGGACGCCAAGGTCACCTCAAGTGAGTTTGCGCTTCGTGTCATATGAGCCTATTTGTAAGATAAGATAGCTAAATAGACTTTTTAGATTTGTTTTAGTATGGTACGTGAAAATGACTCGTCGACGTCCAAGCTCAATTACTACAACCATCACACCTTCAGCATGACCCTAATGAATCTATTAATCCCCAAGACCCCACAAATGAGGAATCATTAATAAACCCCATTAGTCCACTAGCAGTTTTTTAAGAGCAAACTTACTTCTTAATCTCTTTACCGTTTTTCTATGAAAGAAAATGAGGAAAGATTGAGAATCACTCTTCCAATCTTAGCTAGTGATCAATAATACTACTAATCATCTTAACCGCTTTCCTCACCATGGCCGATAATTCCTTCTAATCCATCGGACAAACGTCTTGAGACAGACATCGGACATCTTGAGACAGGATTATTCTTGTTCCCAAAGTGAATTCTACTTTCTTTATTCTTCACTCCTTATTATCCGCATCGTCTGAAAGGGAATCCCAACATATATAGACAAACTGATGACGTCATAGCCTTGAGACAGCCAGACCTCATGCGCAGGTAACCCATCGTAGAGACAAGTCTTGAATTGAAGTACAGCAAAATTACTTATGGACGTTCATCACCGGTTCCAAGATCTGATTCCGCAGATAGGCTTCCGTTTAAAGACTTGGAAACGATAAGGCAAATTCTAAAAGGGACACTCATGGATGAAAATCTGTCATAATTGGAAATGATTATTGCTATAGTTGAAGTAATTTAACGATGAATATTGATGACTTTCAAAAACCACTCTACCAAAAATTCTGCATTTTCTGAACACGTTACCACCAAGAAATTTCGTTTAAAAACTAAAAGAACAATGGGGTTGAGTAAATGACACATTTACTCGCAATTTAGATGCTACAACTAGTCGTTTCTAATAGAAAGTGAAATGCTGCGAGTATTAATCATTATTATCAACCCTTGAAATAGATATTACCATAATATAGCGTTAATTTAATCATATTATTATTGAAAAGTTAACCGCTGGCCAGTAGAGCCTAAGGACTCGCTAGGACCGCTGACTGGCTCAAGTTAGACGCGTTGACATACGTTTGTACTACGTTCGGTAAATCATTCGTGGTCATGTTTAGCTATAATTCATGTATGCTTGTTACATATTATTACTGTAAAAGCCGTAATTTTATTGCAGTTTTCATATTCGTTGTATCGTGGGAGTTTTTCATCGCTGTGAATGAAAAACTATTCAACTTCGAGGGCCTTTATTCAGTTATCTTTGCTAAAACGTAGTACGAGAATGGCACTGAAAAAAAATTAATCAAAAACTACATGAACTTATAATCAACATTTTATTGTTTTTTAACATTTTTTAAGATAAAACATTAGAGTACTTTTTATTCTTTCTAAAACTCAATCTTAATTATGGAGATTCATATATATATGTGTGTGTGTCTCTATATAAAATATATAAAATATATATCTGTCTATATAAAAATTATTGTACATGTTTACGCATAACACAACGACATGTCATGAATACAGCAATTTGTTTTGAGTGGAATTACAGTTATTACTGACATATTTCTAAACAGAATCTATGATATTTAGCTTGTGATCGTCTTAGCCAAACGTATTCTGTCAGGCTGCAGATAATTAAGGGACAGCGTTTCTTCGTCTGGAATAAGACTGCTTTCAAGAGCGTTCAAGTCTCCTTGCATATAGGATTTCGTCCATTGTTTCGGTCTGCCATTGCAGCGCATTACTTAACAGCGCTGAAAAGCTCATAAAAGAACATTGTCTTTCCTTTGAAAGGTCACTAAATCGTTCGTCACCTTGATGAATACTTCCAGCAATAAATAAATTGAAGTTTGACATAATTTAACAACGAAATACTTTACCTAGATGAGTGAACAACGGAATCAGAATGAAACAAGCCACAGCTCGAGAAACACACGTTTTCTAATGCACAATTTAATGACCCCAGGTCAAAAGTACTGAAGGCTCCGAAAATCATCTTCACAAACCGACACGAAATTTCTCAAACCGAGATTTTAACTAGCATCTGTAACACAGGAAGACCACGAGTGCAAGATTAGTTTTGCTGCTCTCCTGATGGCTCGCAGCAATAATTGATAATTTTTATCCGCCATTTTTGACTGTGAAGAAAAGATCTTCCTCGGCGACTATTGGGGTCATATGGATACGTTAACTAAGTTTCAAGTCATTTCCAATTTTGGTACTCATAACCGTACCACATGCTATCGTACCCGTAACAACATGCTACGATTGGCTGAATAGCATAGAAACAATGGGAATTATTGAATTATAAAATGAAAAATGTAATATATTCACACCGAACAACGTAGTTTCTATTTAGAATGGAATATGAAGCATTAACTTGAAATGAAATGTGATATCTCTATTTTATAGCTAAAAAGTCCCCATAGAATCACAAAAATTCTGTTTAGTCTCAGATCGTCCATTTCAGACTTTCGGCCGACAAGTTTTTTAAAAATTAGGTGTACTATTTACTGTGTTTTATCTGATACATTACTGGTATGACCGAAAAGACAAAGCTGAAGTGACATGTAGTTCAAATTTGTTTTTATACAAAACGATTCTTTTGGAAACGATATGCATGATGTTTAAAGCATGAAACCTTCAAATTTTATCAACCCTGAAACAAACTCTGGTCAAAATCAGCTCCTTGACCTTCTTGGGTTTTGCCGAGCGAGGAAAACCGGAGAACCATAAGAAAAACCCTCGAATCAAGGTGGAGAGAGAGACAGGAAAATCGCTTCGCATTAAAAAAACGCATTAATTGGAGACAGAGGTGGTACTACGTATGAAGACTGAGCATGCTGAATCTATATTCGCACGATTCGTTTAGGTATTCATTATAAGACACTGACTAGTACCGAGGCTCGATAGGTTCTAACCCCGGGGTAACCTAATACAATGATGTCAGAATTAATTTCCCATTTTTGTAGTAGAAGTACAAGTACAAAGAAAATGAACGACCGAAGATAAAGAATTTCATATATTTAATTCGTTATTGTCGTAATGAGCTAGAGGTCTTTTTAACAACAAATTAATAGAGACATCTACTTAACTTGTATTGAAGATAATTGTCAAGAGACCCTCCAATCATTTCGATGCTTGTCACTCAACGCAGTCTGATAACGGCTTACAGAGAAAACACATCTACAGTGAAGTACTACTTTCGCCTATGTTATTTACATCAACATTGCTTTTTCCCCTGTATTAGAAGGAAAAATTTGTGATTTGAAGTTTTTGACTATTAAGTTAAAATTTTTCAAATATTTCTTACTGCCAATTTGGACAAAAACTTTGGACTAGACTTAAAACTGTTTAACAGCTGCTAATATACATGTAAATTTTTCTGCCCAGAAAGTGGTTAGGCTGGTTCGAGTCGTTTAGTTTACATTTAGGAAAATCCAGTTTTAGAGATTCTCAGATGTGCCTTTCCTAAACGTGGTGAAGTCCTATACCACAAGTAAATCTGATCCTGAGAGAGAGAGAGAGAGAGAGAGAGAGGGGGGGGCTAGAGTCGATCACTTTCGTATGCCAGCATATTGGTGACGCATCTTTTGTTTTAGGTCTAGGCACGAGTAAGCAGCGTCGACATAGCTGAGACGACAGCACTAATGCTTCAATAATGTGATACCTGGTTACAAGGGAACGAAGCTAGAGTAAAACATCAGGAAACTTGGAAAGGTAAGCTGACTAACTATTATATATTACATACAGTACATGGCTAGCTACAGACTGTTAGACGTGAGACTGATCATAAACTAAGCTAATAAGATAACGAGATTCGTTTGAGTGGATAATCTTACTGATCACCAAGCCAAGGATTTTGGACAGTCAGAGAAAATGGGACTTGCATAGTCTTGCAAGGAAGCGTTGTGCATGGAAATAGTTCAATTTCGAGCGTTGACTAAAGAGAATAATAAGATAATCCAATGAAAATAATAAAATAGACCAATGACCAATCGCTACAGAAGCTAATTAATGAAAATGCAGTTCAAACCCCAGAAATCAAAGCATCAATCAGACGTTACTAAACTTGTTTGCCTAACCGAAGGATAATATCCACGAAATTGCTAGATCAAACGGCATATCCTAGAACCTGGACTGGACTCTGGACTGGACTCTGGACTGGACTCTGGACTGGACTCTGGACTGGACTCTGGACTGGACTCTGNCTGGACTGGACTCTGGACTGGACTCTGGACTGGACTCTGGACTGGACTCTGGACTGGACTCTGGACTGGACTCTGTGCTTTTCATCTTGGACTAGGCTTCCAGTTTTACATGAAAATTATGCATCTTTTCATCATTCATTCTCTTCAATACTTATACACATTTAAGATTATATCATTTATTTTCGGCAATGCTCTTTGTGTGCGTGTGTGTGTGGCCGGAAGCGAAACTCTCAAGTGACATGGCTGGTAGGTAGGATTCGACTTTGAGCATTATAATTTTTTTCTGCTCGAGAACCAACGGTTTAAGATATATTTTCGAAACCTACGTTTATCTTTCTTTTATAGAATGTTGAAAAGACAGCTCGAATTTTGGCTTCCGCGCAAAGCGGCTATCTTAAGGTATCCTGACCTTTCTTTATCTGTTTTTTTCCCCGAGAAATTTTAGCTAGTTTTGTAGCTCTCTTTGCCTCAGTTATCTGTCATTCAATCTTCAGCGGTTTTTTTCGTAGAAATCCCCACTTTAAATTTAGTAAAACTTTTTTTTTTTGAAAAAATATATTATGTCAAGAAAGGAGCAGGAATTTCTGTGCTTTTGGGCTCTGATAACATGGGAGTCATGAATAAACAGAAAACTGTCAGGATTGACAACTTATAACTCCCAGCCATGTCACTTGAGATTTTCGCTTCCGACCACACACACACACACTCAAAGAACATTGCCGAAAATAAATGATATAGTCTTAAATGTGTATAAGTATTGAAGAGAATGAATGATAAAAATATGTATAATTTTCATGTAAAACTGGGAGTCTAGTCCAAGATGAAAAGCACAGAGTCCAGTCCAGAGTCCAGTCCAGAGTCCAGTCCAGGTTCTAGGACATGCCAGATCAGATTAAGGAATTTAAACGTCTTGTGTTAATAGCCTTGGGCATTGTAATATTATATTCACTTTATCAATTGCAACCATCAATAATTTTGAAGTTCCATCAGTGTCGTCTGATGGTATCCCACAAATGATGCTCATGAAGTCTCGAGAAGTGGTAATAACTTTTTGAGGAGGTGCCGATCGCGACTTTGTAAACTGCGATCTCAGCAGCTTCTCCAATAAGGGCAAAATTTCAATCTTCACTAGCACGTCTGATTCCAGGTATCATGCCAATATCCTGCTATTACCTGACAGAAGCGCAAGGTGGGATCGCTTTAAAACCACAAATGGCGCTATAAAAAAAAAAAGACTCAATAAATTTTAATTATTTATTTTTGACCAGAAAAACGACAGCTGTAAAACTGTGGTTTGAGATAATTGTCTGGTCAGAATCGTGGTTTGGAAATTCAATTATTAGCCATTAATAATCCGCTTTAGCTTACAAGTCAGCATGATTTTATGAAATTGAAGAATTTTTTTTCTTTTTTGATAGATCTATTTRAAGTAAGAAATGACGTTATCTTTTGCTTTCGAACAAGTCTTCTTATTTCTAACATTTCATGGAGTTCCATAGCAGTTTAATATTCACTGTATTTTGTTGCTTTTGTAGCCAAAGTCCTTGTAATTCTGATAACAGCTCCAATTAATTAGTATAGGAAATCGCACGATCTCGAGTACAATTTGGAATTAATAGACACGAGTAATGTTTTGAATGTTCTTGTAATTGCACGAGCCTTAGGCGAGTGCAATTAAAGAACTTTCAAAACATTACGAGTGTCTATTAATTTCAAATTGTACGAGAAGATAGTGCGATTTTTTGTTTATAGTTTACTCAACAAAATTTCAGTAAAAAATGCGAAGCGACGCCGTTCATCTTTGTCTATTTGGCGGCCGATTTTCAGTCCATCGCGCAACTGAAATGCATAAGAAAGATTAGTTCTTATGGCTTTAAAATTTTATTTATATGTTTTTTAAGTACAAAATGATAGAAAATAATTGTTTTGGCATTGTTTTGGCCGTGTTGCCATAGCGACTTAATTCGGTACTCCTACGGAGTACAATTAACGCTATAATTGTACTCCTCTCGACCAATCAGAGTCGAGTAATTTTGTTGAGTGTACTATAAAGAGCAATACACTTAAGAATAAGTGCCGAGTGAAGACAAATTTCCATACTCTAGGAATTCCAACAATGGGAGTTTTTAGTTTCAGTACTTAAATTCTGAGTCGTAAAATTAAATGTAAATTAAAGACACTTACCTATAAACACTAAAATATCTCTACATTTTCAAATACTGATTTAAGCCTGTTTCCAAGAAATATCAGCTTAACGCACTATATAGCCTTTTTTCAACCTTTACATGCTATTTACTTATAAAACACTGCGACAGTATAAAATGTAAAAACATACTAAAAAGTGTAAAAATATATACGAACGCGACACGGCTAAAAAACCGCTGCGCATGCGCCAAAATTCCCGCCTATTGCGGAAAACAAGATAGCGGACGAGAGAGTGCTTCCCGTGCTTCAAAATGCTTATATTTCCAATGACCCCCAGCGTTTCAGTTTGACTTTGATTGGAGATCGAGAGCAAGCAGATAAATCTGTAGACCCTATTGAACATGTCCATAGTCTTTGAATGAATATTGACTCATGATCATCATGGGTAAACGATGCTGTTTTGGGGCAACAATATTGATAGTCATGGCGGCAAAAATCGTTGCAAACCACCTTTGTATTTTGAGCCGACTTAAGGTCAGGACAACAGACTTAAGCTCAAGACCGTGATATTTTGTTGATCATTTGTCATTCTTAAACAAATTAAATGAGCACCTGATTCCAAGGATGAGTACTGAAACAATTTTTTTTTGTCTGAATTGCATTTTTTCCTTTCTTGTACACGAAGCCTTCAACGAGATACCTGGAACCGACTCCTGGACCCACTCCCGTACGAATAACAATCGCGAATAATTCGTACGGGAGTGAAAAATGTTGGTAAATATTTGCTGAACCGACTCCCGTACGAATAACAATCGCCAATGATTCGCACGGTTCGGGAGTGAAAAAAAATTGGTCAATACTCGCTGAACCCACTCCCGTACGAATAACAATTGCGAATAATTCGTACGGGAGTTGTCAGAAATTCTATTGAGTGACATTTCCCTCCTAGACACTGACCTCAGACTACACGAAAAAACTTGATCTGAATTGCATTTTTTTCTTTCTTGTACACGAAGTCTTCAACGAGATACCTGGAACCGTCTCCTGGACCCACTCCCGTACGAATAACAAGAAAGAAAGAAAGAAAGAAAGAAAGAAAGAAAGAAAGAAAGAAAGAAAGAAAGAAAGAAAGAAAGAAAGAAA